CCACGAAATTCGAATCTGTCAATAACTCAGCTCAGAGGGACGTGCATGTCCCCTCGCTCTGAGTGTTCTCTTGAGGTGTCTTCACTGATGTGAAACCCTTTATATACAGTCTCACAAAAAAACGTGTAATAACTACGTTGGTCCACAACGTAGGACGTAGTATATCTACAAAACGCCTCTGAAATTGTAAGATGCCTACATTTTTTTTCACCATTCATTCCAATGGCTGGCTTCTATGTCACGTGATCTTCAAATTTCTCCCTGCAGAAAAAAAAACATGGCCGACCTTCGTTTTATTCTCGGTGTAAAATGCCTATTTTAAGGTTAGTTTGGTCATTTCATGCGAGAAATTTGCCTTGCCTTGCCTTGCCTTGCCTTGCCTTGCCTTGCCTTGCCTTGCCTTGCCTTGCCTTGCCTTGCCTTGCCTGTGCCCTTGCCTTGCCTTGCCTTGCCTTGCCTTGCCTTGCCTTGCCTTGCCTTGCCTTGCCTTGCCTTGCCTTGCCTTGCCTTGCCTTGCCTTGCTTGCCTTGCCTTGCCTTGCCTTGCCTTGCCTTGCCTTGCCTTGCCTTGCCTTGCCTTGCCTTGCCTTGCCTTGCCTTGCCTTGCCTTGCCTTGCCTTGCCTTGCCCTTGCCTTGCCTTGCCTTGGCCTTGCTGCCTTGCCTTGCCTTGCCTTGCCTTGCCTTGCCTTGCCTTGCCTTGCCTTGCCTTGCCTTGCCTTGCCTTGCCTTGCCTTGCCTTGCCTTGCCTTGCCTTGCCTTGCCTTGCCTTGCCTTGCCTTGCCTTGCCTTGCCTTGCCTTGCCTTGCCTTGCCTTGCCCTTGCCTTGCCTTGCCTTGCCTTTCCTTGCCTTTCCTTGCCTTGCCTTGCCTTGCCTTGCCTTGCCTTGCCTTGCCTTGCTTGCCTTGCCTTGCCTTGCCTTGCTTGCCTTGCCTTGCCTTGCCTTGCCTTGCCTTGCCTTGCCTTGCCTTGCCTTGCCTTGCCTTGCCTGCCTTGCCTTGCCTTGCCTTGCCTTCTTGCCTTGCCTTGCCTTGCCTTGCCTTGCCTGCCTTGCCTTGCCTTGCCTTGCCTTGCCTTGCCTGCCTTGCCTTGCCTTGCCTTGCCTTGCTCCTTGCCTTGCCTTGCTTGCCTTGCCTTGCCTTGCCTTGCCTTGCCTTGCCTTGCCTTGCCTTGCCTTGCCTTGGCCTTGCCTTGCCCTTGCCTCTTGCCTTGCCTTGCCTTCCTTGCCTTGCCTTGCCTTGCCTTGCCTGCCTTGCCTTGCCTTGCTGCCTTGCCTTGCCTTGCCTTGCCTTGCCTTGCCTTGCCTTGCCTTGCTTGCCTTGCCTTGCCTTGCCTTGCCTTGCCTTGCCTTGCCTTGCCTTGCCTTGCCTTGCCTTGCCGTTGCCTTGCCTTGCCTTGCTTGCTTGCCTGCCTTGCCTTGCCTTGCCTTGCCTTGCCTTGCCTTGCCTTGCCTTGCCTGGCCTTGCCTTGCCTTGCCTTGCCTTGCCTTGCCTTGCCTTGCCTTGCCTTGCCTTGCCTTGCCTTGCCTTGCCTTGCCTTGCCTTGCCTTGCCTTGCCTTGCCTTGCCTTGCCTTGCCTTGCCTTGCCTTGCCTTGCCTTGCCTTGCCTTGCCTTGCCTTGCCTTGCCTTGCCTTGCCTTGCCTTGCCTTGCCTTGCCTTGCCTTGCCTTGCCTTGCCTTGCCTTGCCTTGCCTTGCCTTGCCTTGCCTTGCCTTGCCTTGCCTTGCCTTGCCTTGCCTTGCCTTGCCTTGCCTTGCCTTGCCTTGCCTTGCCTTGCCTTGCCTTGCCTTGCCTTGCCTTGCCTTGCCTTGCCTTGCCTTGCCTTGCCTTGCCTTGCCTTGCCGTATGCCTTGCCTTGCCTTGCCTTGCCTTGCCTTGCCTTGCCTTGCCTTGCTTGCCTGCTGCCTTGCCTTGCCTTGCCTTGCCTTGCCTTGCCTTGCCTTGCCTTGCCTTGCCTTGCCTTGCCTTGCCTTGCCTTGCCTTGCCTTGCCTTGCCTTGCCTTGCCTTGCCTTGCCTTGCCTTGCCTTGCCTTGCCTTGCCTTGCCTTGCCTTGCCTTGCCTTGCCTTGCCTTGCCTTGCCTTGCCTTGCCTTGCCTTGCCTTGCCTTGCCTTGCCTGCCTTGCCTTGCCTTGCCTTGCCTTGCCTTGCCTTGCCTTGCCTTGCCTTGCCTTGCCTTGCCTTGCCTTGCCTTGCCTTGCCTTGCCTTGCCTTGCCTTGCCTTGCCTTGCCTTGCCTTGCCTTGCCTTGCCTTGCCTTGCCTTGCCTTGCCTTGCCTTGCCTTGCCTTGCCTTGCCTTGCCTTGCCTTGCCTTGCCTTGCCTTGCCTTGCCTTGCCTTGCCTTGCCTTGCCTTGCCTTGCCTTGCCTTGCCTTGCCTTGCCTTGCCTTGCCTTGCCTTGCCTTGCCTTGCCTTGCCTTGCCTTGCCTTGCCTTGCCTTGCCTTGCTTGCCTTGCCTTGCCTTGCCTTGCCTTGCCTTGCCTTGCCTTGCCTTGCCTTGCCTTGCCTTGCCTTGCCTTGCCTTGCCTTGCCTTGCCTTGCCTTGCCTTGCCTTGCCTTGCCTTGCCTGCCTTGCCTTGCCTTGCCTTGCCTTGCCTTGCCTTGCCTTGCCTTGCCTTGCCTTGCCTTGCCTTGCCTTGCCTTGCCTTGCCTTGGCCTGCCTTGCCTTGCCTTGCCTTGCCTTGCCTTGCCTTGCCTTGCCTTGCCTTGCCTTGCCTTGCCTTGCCTTGCCTTGCCTTGCCTTGCCTTGCCTTGCCTTGCCTTGCCTTGCCTTGCCTTGCCTTGCCTTGCCTTGCCTTGCCTTGCCTTGCCTTGCCTTGCCTTGCCTTGCCTTGCCTTGCCTTGCCTTGCCTTGCCTTGGCCTTGCCTTGCCTTGCCTTGCCTTGCCTTGCCTTGCCTTGCCTTGCCTTGCCTTGCCTTGCCTTGCCTTGGCTTGCCTTGCCTTGCCTTGCATTGCCTTGCCTTGCCTTGCCTTGCCTTGCCTGCTTGCCTTGGCCTTGCCTTGCCTTGCCTTGCCTTGCATTGCCTTGCCTTGCCCTTGCCTTGCCTGCCTTGCCTTGCCTTGGCCTTGCCTTGCCTTGCCTTGCCTTGCCTTGCCTTGCCTTGCCTTGCCTTGCCTTGCCTTGCCTTGCCTTGCCTTGCCTTGCCTTGCTTGCCTTGCCTTGCCTTGGCCTTGGCCTTGCCTTGCCTTGCCTTGCCTTGCCTTGCCTTGCATTGCCTTGCCTTGCCTTGCCTTGCCTTGCCTTGCCTTGCCTTGCCTTGCCTTGCCTTGCCTTGCTGCCTTGCCTTGCCTCCTTGCCTTGCCTTGCCTTGCCTTGCCTTGCCTTGCCTTGCCTTGCCTTGCCTTGCCTTGCCTTGCCCGTGTTGCCTTGGCCTTGCCCTTCCTTGCCTGGCCTTGCCTTGCCTTGCCTTGCCTTGGCCTTGCCCTTGCCTTGCCTTGCCTTGACTTGCCTGCCTTGCCTTGGCCTTGCCTTGCCTTGCCTTGCCCTTGCTTGCTGGCCTTGGCCTTGCCTTGCCTTGCCATTGCCTTGCCTTGCCTTGCCTTGGCCTTGCCTTGGCCTTGCCTTGCCTTGCCTTGCCTTGCCTTGCCTTGCCTTGCCTTGATTTGATTCAAAAACATCTCTAAGGAAGCGAGAGGGAATGCTGTCTAAGATACAGTTTGTCGGCCGCAGGTGCTTGACTACTTCCGAAAGAGAAGAGAGGGATACAGGCTCAAAATGGTCGAGGACAGCAGGGCACAGAAAGGGAGCAGGATCTGGGGTAGCACTAGTATAGGCTAGCCTTAGAGCAGATACTTTTTCAATAAAAAATGTAAGAAATGTATCGCAGAGAGTAGTTGATGGCACAATTGGAGAAGCATCACAAGGATTAATGATCGAATTGAGGACATTAAAAAGAACTTGAGGTTTTTGGAGATTAACAGAGAAATATACTCTGTTTTGGCTGCTTTAACTGCCGTCTGATAATCGGAAAGGCAAGCACGAAGAATTTCTAAGGAGACATGAAGTTTATCCTTTTTCCATTTTCTCTCTGCACGCCTACAAGCGCGTCTAAAGGCGCGAGTACAATCATTGAGCCACGGCTCTAAGAGAACATTGTTGCGTCTAAGCGTAAAAGGAGCAACGGAATCCAGTATTAGTGTGCATGTCGAATCAAACAAAGAGATAAGCTCATCCGCACTAAAAGCACAGTTCACCTCTAATTTACAAATCGGATAAGTATTAAAAGCATCTGAAAACTGTGAGGCAGTCAAGGGGTTAATTGAACGCAGACAACGCGCAGGAGCACGTGATTCGACTCCTACAGAAGGGATCGAGGTTCTAAACAGAACCGGTAAATGGTCTGAGATACGCCCACCAAGGCGGGCTAAACAGTTCATCGTCTCCGTCTCTATTTCTCTCCGAGTGCAACGATGAGGAAGCTGCCATCCTTAACCAGTGTGCCTTGCTCGTGATTTACCAGTGTTTGTGCTGCCACGCACACAATGTTTCAAAAGTGGTTTATATGTTGTCCTTTAGTATTTGCGATAAGTGTGCGTCTTTACGCACTGCTGTTGGCCTTGCTGTTTGATATATATTGTGCCGCAGGCCCGCAGCACGTGACGGTTTTGTGTGCCCTCCCATGAAAATCATATGCCCTCCCTTCAGATTTGTTCTGGCGCCGGGTCTGTGCCAGATATAGGTTTGGGCAGCAGTATAAACTCCAGTGAGGGTCTTAGGTGGAGGAGAGCTTGGCGATCATAGACAAGCAGAGCAGGGACATTCTGACAAACATAAAACAAAAACAGGATAGCTAAAGGCAGAGAGCTGAGGGAGCGGCATGCCGACACAGGCGCCATCTTGAAATCCTTCTCGGACTCCGTATGCTTACTGTATACAAAACAAAATAGTCCTTTTATTTCTAGAGAAGTAGGCCTACAATGGGCAGCAATGAATGATCAACTGATCAAGGACCTGTGTGTACTTTTTAGCAAGTTAGCAAGCAGAAGCACAACGCTTGAATCCAGAATTGTCTTTGAATTATTAAGTATTTATTTTCAAGGTAAAAAGTGGTCACAAACATATACGATTTGTAAATAAATGCATTTGATTGTACATTGAAGATTACATTGCATTTTTTTTTTTAGATAAACATGAGGTGTATGAAGAGGCAGTTCTAAAAATGTTATAGTTGTTGGGGAAATATTTTCCAAGGCCCATAACTTTGACCAAGTTTATCAGTTTATCAGACTGAGCACATGCACCTGTAACCTTGGCTGAGGTGCTCTCAGTGTTTTGTCTCCCAAAGCTCCAGCTCTCCCCGTGTCTCCTTCCTGAGTCGGTGCACTCCCATTGCATTGCTACACAGAATTGTCTCCCACAATAGTAATATAACATTATTTCTAAAATACAATTTCAGACAACTTCATGAGAATAGGACAAATGCTAGCTGATTAATAAGAGTCAAACACAATTTATTTTTCCAAGCAGTTATAATGCAGTGCCCTCGCTCCATTTCTTATTGGCGTCTAACGGCACACAGCTCATGAGGTGACGGGCTGAGGGTGAAGCCCACAGCTGGAGTGAGATCCAGTTCATCCTCTGTAACTCCAGGTGGAGGAGTGTAACGAAAGCGCTGGAGGAGGAAGGTGAAGAAGATGAACAGCTCCATCTTGGCCAGACTCTCCCCCAGACACACCCTGCGACCTTTGAGAGAAAAATAGATTTGCATGTAGTTAAACTGGATCACATCTTTAGAATGGTAATATATTTAAATACAAAGTTGGTACCTGCAGAAAATGGCATGAAGGCGTCCCTCCTGAAAAAGTTACCCTCCTTATCCAGGAAGTGGGAAGGGTTGAAAGTGTGTGGTGTTTCCCATTCACTCTCATCATACAGGACAGAAGTAAGAAGAGGAAGCACAGTAGTCCCCTGTAGGAAAAAGCGGAGAGCAAGGTGTATCATAACAAGTATGGAGAGAATGAGAATCTCCGGCATATTTTGTTGTGGCTAAGTTTTGAAACACCTTAACACCTGACCTCTTTGATGAAGTATCCTTGGAAGGTGACATCTCGGCTGGTTTTATGAGGAATGGCCATGGGGACAATGTTGGCCAGTCTCTGTATCTCATGGATGACAGCATCAGTGTACGGCAGGTTCTTCCGGTCATCGACCCCTGCCTGACGGCATCCTATCACTCTGCTCAGCTCCTCCTGGACCTGGTCTGAACACACAAAATCAATAACTGTTAATAATATATATATTAATAAGTTATTTGTATCTTGACTTAGAGTTCACAGCCCTGCCAGTGGCTTTGTGAAGCTGTACTTTTGGGGTAAAATGCTAAAGTCAGCATGCTAACCTGTTCAAAATGACGATGCTATCAGATGTATCGTTTACTATAATGGTTTATAATCACTAAACGCAAAGTGCAGCTGAGGCTGATGGGAATGTAATTTCCTCTGCCTTCGAAATCTACAGAAGAAACATTTTCGGTAATATAGTTTAAAGGGGACCTATCATGCAAAATGCACTTTTGTACGTCTTTTATACATGAATATGTGTCCCCGGTGTGTCAGGGAACTCACCAAGTGTCAGAAAACACAACCGTCTCTCTTTTCCTCCATACCCAAATTTCTAAAAACGGGGCTGCTACGGATCTGATACAGACTGATACAGATTTGAAATATCTCTGACGTCAGAAACAAGGAGCTCCGCCGATAGAGTGGCGAAGTCCCTCCCCTTCCGGTGGACCTCCATGGGACCTTATTTCGAAAAGATTATGTATTGAAGTCAATGGAGAGAGAAAGATTATCTTTCGACCCCGTTTGAATTGTGCCACGAATTACACATATGATGTTTGTCAATTTAAAAGATAATTTTGCAAGTAAAAAAAAAAAATGTGTCGTAAAACTGTGAAGTAACACATTTGTTTGTGTGAAACGCTCAATGAACTACATCTCTGGTCTCGCAGTACAACACACGTCACCAAGATGGCCGTCACTACTGTCTTGTCAACAAAACGATTGACTACCCTCACTATCACCACAATGAAACACGTCCAGAAGAATGTCATGCAAAGCTGCCTGCCTGCCTTCCTTCCTTTGATTCTCTCTGAACTGCCTGGTCTTTTTAATGTTTAATGTCAACCATTTGTGCAGATAGCATGAAGTAGAAAAGATCGGCGATCGCCGATGCTAGCGTTAGCATTTCTCCCCCGGGCTTAAATTGTGTATTATAGAATGATCACACCGGTGACAGTACTCTTCAAAGGGTTCACGAAATATGACTACTACTCTTACTGTTTAACATTTTGGGTTACTTAATGTTACTTCATATTAAGGCTAATAAAAATGACAAATCTGTAATGCTAACTAACGTGCTAGCTACTAGCTAGGTAGCTAACTTGATCCAGCCACTCCTGGTCCTTTCATCAGACGGGAAGCGAAAGAACGAGCAAGACCCATTGTTGGTATGATAACAACCTGTTACTAAGCACACAGGCATCTTGTTAAAGTTATCTTATCTTAGCCAGCGCCATATAGATGGATTCTATCTATATGGCGCTGATCTTAGCTATCTCTTAGTGGAGGAAAACAATTGTGACATCACTTACGCAACTCTGGGATTTGTAGTCTTTCTAGTTGCGTATTTATCATAGTCTTATATTTCAACAGTTTTACGACACACTGACTTTTTTGACACGGAAATTATTTTTTAAGATTGACAAACATCATATGTGTAATTCATGGCACAATTCAAATGGGATCGAAAGATAAGTTTTGTCTCTCCATTGACTTCAATACATTATTTTTCCGAAATAAGGTCCCATGGACCGGAAGTAGATGGGCGTGACTTCGCCACTCTATATGGGCAACTCTCCACCTATCAGGGGAATGGGGGGTTGCCGTGGCATGGTAACAGCATGGTAACATGATGCTCGTGCCTCGCCCCCCTCCTTTGCAGGGCGGCGTGGTCAGCTGCAGCTCATTTGCCACAGAATCAGCCCTTGCAAAAACAGGGCTGGAATAGAGCAAATAGAGCGAAATGAGGCATGGCTAAAATGCATGATCTGTTTGGTATTTTGAAAAAGAAAAACTTCACAGACATGTTTTATATAGGTATGGCCCTGCCCTACAATATATTATTCAAATATAGCATGATAGGTCCACTTTAAGTAAGACTGGTATTCCCTGAAATAAAGCCTGCATAAAAACACAATCTGTAAAAAATAGAAAAAAAGGTAAAAGCAAAAAAAAGGTTTCAAAAAGGGTAGTGACTTAAGAGGGAGGCCTAAAACTACTGTACTCTTGATATCTCCCGGAGGTTACTTACTTAGCTTTATTTCAATGCCTGCTAGTTTCCCTTTAAGTGGTTTCCATCATATATGGTTTATCGTAATATATATATTTGAACTTATATAATAATACCTAATCTAAACTTGATTTATTTGATGGGCATCCAGAGGTGCAAATATAAATGCACGCCTACAAGCCTCATCTTTATTTTACCTTGTACATGCGGATATTTAGCCATAAGCAGCAAACCCCATCTCAGTGTCGTTGCTGTGGTGTCGGTACCAGCAGAAAACAGGTTGGTTACTGTAAATATCAAATTCTTCTCGTTGTAGTGAGTGTCCTTCACACCAGAGTCCTGAGAGAAAGAGCACCCACATATTGTTATAAAATACAATGTTCTCTTTGTTTGATGCATATGCAGTGAGGTTGTCTTACTTCTTCTTTCTTCTTCCGAATCAGAAAACAGTCGACAAGCCCTCTGCAGACGCTAGGGTTCAGAGTCTCTTTCAGATTCTTGACTAAAGCCTTGACATCTTTTATGGTCATCTCAACATTTTGTAAAAGCAGCTGACGGTTCTTTATCCAACTGACCAGCCTGGGAAACATGTTGTAGAGCTGTGAAAACAACAAAGATGAATGAAGAAAATGCACACCCAACATATATACTGTACAGTGTATTCAATATTAAAGGTGGGGTAGGTAATTTTGGAGAAACCAGCTTGAGTGAGCTAGAATTTGAAAATACACAGCCGAAAAAAATGTGCCACTTCCTTACAGAGCCCCTCCTCCAACACACATGAACGCGCACATGACCAATGAGGGCACGAGATAAGTTTGTGCACAGATGGAAGGCTGACAGGAAGGTAGGCCATCCAGTTATTTTAGCCGGGCCGGCTCAAATGATTGGTCGTGCTTTTTACAGTACTACGGCTTCCACAGATGACATTTTTGTATGTATTTTTTGTCAAAACACTTAAGATATTCATTGCTATCGGGATGTTAAGAGCATTCCATGGAATATAACAAAAAGTGTATCTCAAGCCGGTTTCTCAAACTTACCTACCCCACCTTTAAGACACACCTGATCAGTTATTTGATACCGTAAAATAAATGTTTCCCATCTCCATACCTTTAGTTTCAATCATTCTTTTATTGTTTTGTCAGTTAAATGTTACCCTAAAGCAGTGGTTCTCAAACTTTTTCTGTCAGGCCCCCCCTTTGGAGAAAAAAAAAAGTCGGGCCCCCCCAACACAAATAGTCAGGCTCAGTGGCGGCGCCAGAGATTTATTTTGGGGGTGCTGTGGGGTAGCTTGACGTTTCATAGAGGGTGCTCAAACATTTAGGGTTTCCCATTAATGTACCGGGCGCTACAGTGGAATTTTCTACTGCAACAATCCCCACGCAAATACACAGTGTACACGCGACTGTTACAATGAAGGCTCGACAATCAGCTCACGGCCACATATAGATGTAAGCAGGGGTAAAGTGCTATTTTTATAGGTGGTGTGTGGATCTCACATAGGGGGGTCCGGGGGCAAGCTCCCCCGGGAAGATTTTTAAATATTGAAGTTAAAAGCATCAATCTGGTGTACTTTGAGAGCAAAATGAAGAGATCTATGGATACATCTCTCAACACCCATTTTCTCTCTTATTTTTTTATAACTATAATGATCATATAAACGTGTGCCTTGGAAATAATTGTTTACATTAATGGTGACCAAAACGTTTGAGACCCACTGAGATAACACTGAGAGAGTCCTTTAGCTCACTGAGTCTCTCAGTCTGACAGGAGAGGACTCTCCTCCACTTTGTTGTTGAAAAAACTCCTTATATCCGTTAGCGTAGCTCGCTAGCACCAGAAGCTAACAACAACAATCTCCAGTACTCTCTCTCGCTCGCGCACACACACACACAAATGGATCGTTCCATTTACAAAGGGGGGGCACACACTGCCGTCAACAACCAACACACAAACACCAACGCAACTTCAAAAAACATGCTGTAAAGTGTGTTGTCTCTCACACACATTGCAGGGTGTAGTGCTATTGTATAGCGCACCTATGACTTCTGCATACATGCACGGTTGTGGCACGACCACCAAAACAGAAACATATAAGGACATAGGCCACCATACAAAAAGGGTGCAAATGTATTTAGTATCCTATCCATGTGAACATGTTTTAGGTGGGGGTGGACCTAATCTCCTCTAGGAGGGTCTGGGGGCATGCTCCCCCGGGAAGATTATTTTTAAAATATTGAAGTTAAAAGCATCAATCTGGTGCACTTTGAGAGCAACATTAGGAGATCTATGGATAGTCTACATCTCTCAGCATCCATATGAAACACAACTGTACACAGATACACTTTTTCTTTATGGATATTTTACTAATCATTCCCATTTTAAACTGTATTCTTGTGTTACTGTCCTATAGTATTTCATACCCGTTTTTTATTTATTCTCTTATTCTTTAATAACTATAATGATCATATAAAGGTATTCCTCGCAAATACATAAATGGTGACCAAACCATCTGAGACCCACTCAGACCCGGCGCCAGAACAAATCTGAAGGGAGGGCATATGATTTTCATGGGAGGGCACACAAAACCGTCACGTGCTGCGGGCCTGCGGCACAATATATATCAAACAGCAAGGCCAACAGCAGTGCGTAAAGACGCACACTTATCGCAAATACATACACAAATAAAGGGCAACATAGAAACCACTTTTGAAACATTGTGTGCGTGGCAGCACAAACACTGGTAAATCACGAGCAAGGCACACTGGTTAAGGATGGCAGCTTCCTCATCGTTGCACTCGGAGAGAAATAGAGACGGAGACGATGAACTGTTTAGCCCGCCTTGGGCATGGTTTATTTTCCTATGCACTGCAGGTGCATCCTTTCGCTCAGCCGAGCTAATTTAGAACATTATTTTGGCCAACTCTGCATCTTTGTACTGCAGCGTATACTCAAACAGCGATAGGAAGAGCCCACTGCCTGACTCGGACATGCTGTGGAGTGAATCGTGGTCACCTCTGAGAGGGAGTTGGTTGACGGCTAAAAAAGCTATAATATCAACGACAGCTGACACGTAATAACGGTTCCGTGCCAGCTGATCTGTGCGCACCAAAGTTCTCATTTCCTTATTTGTTTCCTCGCGTATCTGTCTCTCTCTCCGCAAACTCTCACATGAAATGTGTTCTTTTGATGCTGCATGCATTAGCAGTCCTTTATCAGTCTGTAATGCATGTTTCCAGTCGCAAAAACCTTTGACAGTAAAAGCCGCATCAGATGAAGACGTATTTACTTTAAACTGTCTACAGGGGAAACAAAAGGCTGCGTCTGCTTTTAACGAATCTTCAAGCCATGGTCTGTTGTTGTACCATGCAGCAGCAAAAGTGCGCTTCTTTCCTGAAAACAATCTCCCTGGATAACGATCCAGTTTCACCTGCTTGGGTTTATTAACCCCAAGATCATCTGGGGCTGTTGGTCTTTGAGCGGTTGCTTTTCAGACAATTTTCCATTTTGTAAGTCAAACAGAAATGGGAGTCCACAGAATGCACAATAAACAAACAAATCCAGAAGGCGGCAGAGTGTGACGCTGTGATTGGTCTAAATGTGGACGAATCACAAATCACAACAGACACATGAATCTATTTGACATAGCCTGCGATTTTTTGTTTTAGTTACTATCTGACATCTACGGAAGAGGATTAGGGCCACATAAACAATTTTTTTGTGAGGATTTGAAAAAAATATTATTATTTTTTGTTCTGAGAAAAAAGTCAGAATTCTGACTTTTTTCTCAGAATTCTGACTTTTTTCTCGGGGAAAAAAAAATATTTTTTTTTTGGGAGAAAAAAAGTCAGAATTCTGACTTTAATCTCAGAATTCTGACTTTAATCTCAGAATTCTGACTTTTTTCTCAGAACAAAAAAAAAAAAAATTATTTGGGAGAAAAAAGTCAGAAATACCGGTAACTGTCGAACCAGCTTCACTGCGATTTACACATTGCAGTAGGCAACAATGGAGGACGTGAGTGAATTTCTGCGCGCCAGAGGGGTCCAAGAGGAAACCATATTGCAAATGGAAGAACAAAAGGTGAGTTATAAATATATAAGTGTGTTTTGGGCGTTCGTAAAAACAACGAAAAGGCGTTAGAATATGAAATGCAGACATTGATGAGCTAGCAGCAAGTGCATTAGCTTATATGCTATGGCTCCCCCCATCTAATTCAGTAAATAATGGTTTAGTTCGTTGACACGCAAGTTTGTGCTTGTTGGAACAGTGGCGACTAACCAAGAGCAACAGCCTGGTGGTTTTCATGTTTCTGTAGAGAAGATTTCATTAAGTGTGTTTAACAAGGCAGCTAGCAGCTAGCTGAGAGCCTGACAGCTACCGCTCACCAGCCTGACTGCGGTCAACTCAGCCGTCTCTCAAATTTGCTTGGTCAAATGAGCAGTTCTTCATTTCTGAGTGCGCGATTTATAGCGCCTTTACGGTAATCGCTGAGAAGCGGCACTAACGCAAGAGTAAAAATAATGCATGTTTTTTCTGCTTCATGCGATACAAATTATTTTTACCATGAGTTCTTAAAAAAAACTAACACTGTTTGACTCAGTCCTAGTTTGACTGCTACCAACAATAAAATGAAGTACTTTTACTGTCTTTTTTCTGGGTAATACTCTCAAATTCCCCTCCTGAGAACAAAATCATGCAACTTCTGCTATATTTGATGAGATACAATGATTTTTATCGATGCATCCTTAATAAAAGTGATACTGTTGAACTCAGTACTACTTGGACTAGTAGCACAAGTACAATCAAGTACTTTTACTGTGTACTTTTGAGTAATCCCCTGTCAAACTCCCCTCCAGAGTACAATAATGCATGTTTTCTGCCCTCTTTGATGAGAGATAAAATGATTTTGTGCAATAAGTTCTTAATGTAATTGGAACTGTTGGATTCAGTACTACTCGGACTACTACCAAAACTACAATCAAGTACTTTTACTGTGTACTTTTTGAGTAATCCTTTGTCAAACTCCACCCCTGAGTACAATAATGCATGTTTTATGCCATCTTTGATGAGAGATAAAATGATTTTGTGCAATAAGTTCTTAATGTAATTGGTACTGTTGGATTCAGTACTACTTGGACTACTACCAAAAGTACAATCAAGTACTTTTACTGTGTACTTTTTGAGTAATCCTTTGTCAAACTCATTCCCCTGAGTACAATAATGCATGTTTTCTGCCATCTTTGATGAGAGATAAAATAATTTTGTGCAATAAGTTCTTAATGTAATTGGTACTGTTGGATTCAGTACTACTTGGACTACTACCAAAACTACAATCAAGTATTTTTACTGTGTACTTTTTGAGTAATCCTTTGTCAAACTCCACCCCTGAGTACAATAATGCATGTTTTCTGCCATCTTTGATGAGAGATAAAATGATTTTGTGCAATAAGTTCTTAATGTAATTGGTACTGTTGGATTCAGTACTACTTGGACTACTACCAAAAGTACAATCAAGTACTTTTACTGTGTACTTTTAGAGTAATCCTTTGTCAAACTCCACGCCTGAGTACAATAATGCATGTTTTCTGCCATC